ATGTAATGTGTTTTTATTATTTTAAGTATTTTTAGTTTCCAGTTTTAGATACAACCCACATAAACAAAAGCACTTAAGAGTTGTGTAAAGGGATCCTGAGATGAAAAAGTTTGAAAAATGCTGCATTAAGGAACTCTCTAAAACCGGATAGAAATGCAACAAACATTTTAGCGCAAGAAGTGTTTGCTGAAGTCCTCTATCAAATTCCAGGTACTCGTATGGGAAGTTACATGGAAGGAACAAGAGTGTAAAAAGAGCAACTTTCAGGAATTAACCCTTCTTTCTGACTAGCCTTGGAGAGTGTGTTATTTTCAATAAGCTTGACTCTACCGACCTCACCCATATCTGTACTTTCCTGTTAGCAAGATGTCAGCTTCATCTCTCTACCCATAACAACTCCCATATTAAAAGCTTTCAGGACGACCAATGTGGCTCAGTGGTTGAGTGTTGACCTATGAACCAGGAGGTCACAGTTTGATTCTGGTCAGGGCAAATGCCTGGGTTGTGGGCTTGAGTCCCAGTGTGGGACGAGCAGGAGGCAGCCGATCAATGATTCTCTCATCATTGATGTTTCTCCCTTCCTCTCTGAAATCAATAAAATTAAAACAAAAACTCTCAGTGTGGCTGAATGTTGGCAGCTCCATGGTTGGCAAAATGCAGTTTGCAAGCCACATGTGGCTCTTTGGCCCCTTGAGTGTGGCTCTTCCACAAAATACCATGGCCTGTGAGAGTCTATTTTGAAGTGGCATTAGAAGTTTAAAAAAAAAAATTCAGCCAGCTGGGATCGGTTTGGCTCAGTGGATAGAGCGTCGGCCTGCGGATTCAGTCCTGGGTTTGATTCAAGGGCATGTACCTTGGTTGCGGGCACATCCCTGGTAGGGGGTGTGCAAGAGGCAGCTGACCGATGTTTCTCTCTCATCAATGTTTCTAACTATCCCTCTCTCTTCCTCTCTGTAAAAAAACCAATAAAATATATATATATATTTTTAAAAAGGTTTAAAAAAAATTGGCTCTCAAAAGAAATTTCAATCGTTGTACTGTTATTTGGCTCTGTAGACTAATGAGCTTGCCGATCACTGTCCTAGCTGAGCAGAGATAGCCTGGCAAAGCTCAGGAGGGCCAAAGATTGGGTGGGGCTGCAATGTGGGCTTATCAACAAGTTGAGGGACCTTAGGCACATTGGTCATGTCTATTTCCACAGCTATACTTGCAGTGGCACTCTCAGGATGATTTTGAGTGAATTCATGACTACATAGGCAAAAACCTGGTCACACCATGTTATTCCTAAAATAGGAATTACAATTTCTCAAAAAATTAAAAAGCTTTTTCCCTCCACTGTGTGAACCAGTGCTTCTTATGCCTTCTCCCTTTCCTTTTCTGGAACATGCTCAAATTGATGGAGGAGGAAAGCCTTTGCCCTGGCATTCCTTCCTGTAGACACAACCCTCTTCGTAGCTGGTCAAGGCAGAACACCCCATACACCAGGGATGCAGTTCAGGTGGTGGACACATTCTGACAGATGCCATCAGCAACAGCAAGCCACTGCAGAAAGACTGCTGACCACTTCAGAAAGACTAAAAAGTCCAAAACATTCCTTTTACATAATAAAAGGCCAATATGCAAATGGACCAGTTGCTATGACATGCACTGACCCACAGGGTGATTGTGGCTGAGCTGGGCTCACAGCTGGTAAGCGCAGTGGCTGTGGCAGCAGCGCTAAGGATGTCTGTCAGTCAGACTTCCCCCTGAGGGTCCCGGGGGGGGGGGGGGGGCAGGCCAGGCTGAGGGACACCACCTCCTCCCCGTACAAATTTCATGCACCGGGCCTCTAGAATATTAATAAACATTTGTAAGAACCACATCATCAAACACATGATGAGATCTCCAACAACACTAGGCACCTAATTGAGAGACACTGAACCAGGCACATTACCCAGCACTCCCCCCCTGAGCCCAACCACCCAAGGCTCAGAAGTTCAGGCATTCATTTGCCCTAACATCAAGAGGAGCCGTGATTCAAAGAAAGGTCTTTCTCACAAATTGTATGCCACCTTCGAAGATCTAGCTGAAAGCACTCTTTTTGTAGGAGAAACAATGAAGGCCCAAAAGGTGCAATGTTTTTTCAAAGTCAGTAAACCCAGGTCTGATTCCTGATAAAGCGCTACCCAGGGGCCCCCCCATCCTCCCCATCCAACCTCATTCTTTGAAGTGGGGAGAGAGGACGCCAACTCCAATCAAACCTTGAAAAGCAAAGGAAACTTTAAAATCATTAAATAATTTGAAACTATGTAGCACTGACGTCAGATCTGTAAGTTTATTTGCTCAATGTACGACAGCTACATAATGACTCACATTCATGATATTCCATCACTGAGGAAAACTGCTAAGAAGGTCCGTGTGTGAAATAATTCTTAGAGAAACACGGAGTTGGAAAAATAATCACTGATTAGACCTTAAAAATAGTTCACTGCATAACATGACAAAAAGCACAAAGGCTCATTCAGAGAACATATTCATTGTTCTCCTACACTGTAATAGTTATAATTTCACCATGACAAACACCAGACATTAAGATTAAGCTAACACTGGTGTTTCTTTTGCCCCCCGCCCCCCTTAAAAACAAAATATATAACTGCATGTCACTATAGCAACATCCAAAACAGATCAAATTGTTACAATCACTATTTGGTAGAGCAAACTTTATCCCCAAAAGGAAAACTTAAATTAAAAAAAAAAAAAAAACTTTTAAAAATTTGAAGACTTAATTTTCTGTCATAGGAATACATAACACCTACAGTATAAGTTAATAAATTTCAAGCTACTTTATAGAAATACAACACTAGCATGCACAATATTGTATCAATAGAGTAATGGAGGAATAATCATTTCACTGTAGAGACAATATCATAGGCAAGTGCATTTCTTTAAGAATAAAGAAAAGAAAAGAAACCATTCAAGCTGCTTAAATATCAAGTCTCCCATTTCCTCTTCATTTTTAGCCCTCAGGTATGATTTTATCTTGCATTATTCTAAAAAGCAGCCAGAGCCAAAGCTGAAATTTTAAAAAAATATATAGGTTTTGTAATTCCAGTAAATCATTTCCAAATGCTACAAGGACACAACACTGCTCACTGGACATGAAGATAAATTAAGGGAAGCCCCACCTACCCTCCCCCCTCAAATCTTTTCCCTTCCATGGCATTGACTTCAGAGCTCTGTAATGGCAAAAGAGCTGCAAAGCTTTCTTCTACTAGTTCTTCTGGCAGGGTTCAGTTAATTGGGATTTTCACTCTAGCATAGGAAGGGAGGAAGGGGACCGTCTAAGGAAAGTCATGCTGGATAAACTGTGCAATGTTACAGAGTATCATCACCATTCAATCTTCACTGTCACCTGGATTCTGTTAAAGGTAAGCTCAATTTTGGTATTAGCAAAAGCAAGTGTCAGTTTTCCTCAATCATTACTGATACCTCTCCTTGCCTAAAGAAAGCAAGTCTGGTGTCATGACCTATCTTGGGAATTCACAATTACTGATTTTATAAAAAAGGCTGAACACACGTGCAACAGATTATGTTTTCAGACAGGTTTATCCAAAATGAGAATGGAGGACCTAAGGCTAAATGAAAACAAATTTGTGAAGATAGCAATGTGGTTTCCTTCAATTCTAAAAACACGCACTGATTACACAAGAAATGAATCTGATGTTTTAGTTAAAGAGAAAAAAATATATAGAAAAAGTTTTGGTCAAATAGGAGTTTAGTATTTATTATCTGATAATGATTTTAGTTTGTTTTCCTGTAACAACTGATTGGGGAGGGGGGGAGGAATGATTTAAGGGAGGAAAAACTGACGGAGTGTTTATGAATAGAGCTCTTCCTTTTGGATTTTCCTACCAGTAAGCTTCTAGCACCTAAATTTTCACCCACTGCACCACAAACTTTCTCAAAACGACCACCCAGCTTCTATAACTCACAGCTTTTCAACCCGAGTGGCATCAGCAAAAGGTACAGTGGGGAAGACTCAAGTGAAGAGCGAAACGGCAGCGTAATCCCTGAGGAAGGAGCTGTGGCAGCTTACAAATCAGGATTCTCTGAAAATATCAATGCAATAAATGACATACAGACCTGAATTTTCTCTATTTTTTGTGGTGTTTAACATTTCTATTAAAGTGATTAGTAACTTTTGTGGTGGACTTAAGAGGAAAGAAAGATAAAAATCCCACAGCCACCTGCCAAGCACCTATTAACCAATACCTAAAGTAGCTTTGATGCTTCTCAGGCAAGCCTTTGGCCTAGGAGATAACCAACCTGGATATGGCTGAATAAGGATGTAAAGCCAAAATAACTAGCAAAGAAAAATACACAGTCAATGGCTTGATATTACATATGGCTGTAATGTAGAAATACTGTAAACTGCAATTTAGTGTTAATACTGTCAACTAATCAGAGACGTCAGAAAACTAGCAAGGCCTAAAAACCATAAGGATAAATATACCTTATGTTCCAAGTCTGTCAGTTTGGGATTTAAACTATTCTGTGTCTGATAGAGTACACCCTGAAAAAAATGCACAGCTAAAACAGATGAGATAGAAAGTACCCAAAACTTAAGACAAGAGCATATGTACATAAAAATCCTTACTGGAACCACAGAACTTACTGAAAGAGGGCCATTCCACTGAAGTTTTCTTTTCATTTTAAAATCCTATTATCTAGCAATAAGTTAAATTAAAGACAGACAGCTCCACTTGCATTAATCTACAGAACAGTCCATATGCCGATGTGAGGCTGCTATTCCAATACCAGCACAGCTAGCCTGACTTTCCACTAGTGGTATTTTGGCAAAAATGTCAAAGAGGCGATCAAAGACAGGACAGGTCGTGGGTTTCTCCCTAGGAAGGTCACCCCTCCCTTTCCCTCCCCCACCCGACCCCCAAACTCATGGGAAAAAAAATAAAGACTGCAGTAGTAGCATCAGCGTGCGCTGCCAGTCCACCTGAGGGGCCTTAATTGTTGCCTTCTCCACCATCGTCGTCTTGCTGATCGCTTGTCCAGAGCGTTAGGTTGTCACGAAGGAGCTGCATGATGAGAGTGGAGTCCTTGTAGGAGTCCTCATTGAGAGTGTCGAGCTCAGCAATGGCATCGTCGAAGGCGGTCTTGGCCAAGTGGCATGCTTGCTCTGGGGCATTCTGGATCTCATAGTAGAAAACGGAGTAGTTAAGAGCCAGGCCTAATCTAATGGGGTGAGTAGGCTGCATGTGCTCCTTGCTGATTTCATGGGCTTCGCTATAGGCCTTCTCAGATGATTCCACGACAGTCGCCCTTTTCTCTCCAGTGGCTACTTCAGCCAGGTAGCGGTAATAGTCCCCTTTCATCTTCAGGTAAAACACTTTGCTCTCATACTGGGTCTCACTGCAATTCTTGATCAGGTAGTTATCTAGCAGGCTCAGCACATCCTGACATACCGCTTCCAACTCCTTCTCTATTTTTTCACGGTACGCACGGACCATCTCTATCTTCTTCTCATTACCATCTGCAGAAGTCTTCTGCTCAATGCTACTAATGACTCTCCAGGAAGAACGGCGTGCCCCAACTACATTCTTGTAGGCCACGGAGAGAAGATTTCTTTCTTCATTGGATAGTGGCTCATTCAGCTCTGTCACCTATTAAGAGGAAAAGAATAAAGAGTTGTTATGGTACAGATGATGTCAGTTGGGTTAATCATAACAATAAACAGCTAAAACATACAACATCCATCAGATGATTAAAAAGATTAATAGACAGAGAAGTTATCAGGCTGTGTGGGAGTATGGAAGGGAGATGGAAGTGGAAAGAGCAATAGAAAAAAGAAAAAGAAAAAAAGCAACTAGGTCAATGGTGCCTGAATCCCTGCTTCACACCTATACAAGGACCATACTTATCACATAGCTGTTCCATAAAGGAACTGTCAAGGGTAGCTATTAGATGACAAATCAAATTTTTATCTAAATTGCAAAAGGTCAACCTCTTTCACGTACCATTACATACACACCAATCAATCATAGGGAATTCTATAGGTGGCTTATATACCATTTATATACCATTCTGTTCTCTGAAGAACAGAATGACAGCTTCCTTCTAATAGTGCCCTGTCTGCTAAACTTCTGGGTGAGAATATTTTGAGTATTGGTTGAGAATATGGTCAACTTCAAGCAGACTTTTGAGAAAGAAGTAGGTTTTTCTGCTCTTGTGTTAGCATATGAATTATAAACCTCGGAAAGTTAGTCAAAATTGGGGACATGGGACTGAGATTTTAGCAACTTGGGGAACACATATTTGTTGTAGTGTTTGACTGTGTTTGACTGCTAATTGTCAAACACTACAACACATATTTGTTGTAGTGTTTGACAATTAGCAATACAAAACAGTGGAGATGTCAACAAAGTACTTTTGAACTGAGGTGGCCAATAGGAATTAATCCTTCTTTCAATATGGGCATTTCTAAAGGGTCCTCATCATCCCAAAGACTAATTGCCTTGAGAAAACTAAAGCAACAGCACACCGAGAACTCTGGTCAGGATGGCAGAGTAAATGAATGCGGTGCTCACCTCCTCCCATGACCACATCAAAATTACAACCTATATCGTGGCAGTTAAGAATCCAGAGGGAGCCCTAGCCGGTTAGGCTCAGTGCAGAGAGAGTCGGCCCATGGACTAAATGATCCTGTGTTCAATTCTGGTCAAAGGCACATACTTTGGTTGCAGCTCAATCTCTTCAGGGCACATGTGGGAGGCAACCAATAGATGTGTCTCTCTCACATCGATGTTTCTCTGTTTCTTCCACTCTCTCTCTAAAATAAATAAATAAATAAATATATATATATTCACACACACACACACACACACATACATGTGTGTGTGTGTAAGTAAATAAAATTAAAAAATAATCCAGAGGGACATCTTGACTACAGAGGTTTCCCTGAGGAGCAAGGGATCCCAGCCCCATAATCTGTGGCTGTAAAAATCAGTGAGGATTCAGTTGGGGTGAGATGGTGAGATGAAGGGCTACTGGAGTCCCAGATGTTCCTCTTAAAAGATTTGGCATGGACTTACTTGCTAACACACTCACTCGTTCTGAGCTCCAGTGCTGGGGCAGCAGCTCAAAGCGTGAGGACATATGGAAAATAACTGAATTGTCTGGCTTTAGGGTATGGGATGGAGGAGCAGCTCTGGCCCTGACAAAATACTGGCAGATGCCACTGCTCTTTTACTAAGTCTTCCTAGGTGAGCACCAAATCTGCCTCCATCCAACTAGCTAATTTTGCTTGCCTCATCCTGTTGATTATTTGAGACCTCACCCTACACAACACATACACTAGCCCGAGACTCTTTCACAGGTTGTTCCTACTGGACCTGGCTCAAGCTTTGGACTGTCCTAAAACCTCTCAAATGTCACCCGGCTCAGTTGGTTGAAGATCATTCTGTGCATCAAAGTATTGCCAGTTCAATGCCTGGTCAGGGCACATGCCTGGGTTGCAGGTTCAATCCCTGCTTGGGGCATGTGCAGAAAGCAACCAATCAATGTTTTTCACATCAGTCTATCTCTCTCTCTTCCCCTGCCCCCCACCCCCTTTCCTCCTTCCTTGAGTAAGGATTTTAAAGAAAACCTCTCAAAGGTCTATAAACCCCAAACAAGCAGTAGTTGGCCTCAGCATGCCCTGTATCTCCTGCTGAGTAATGCCTGGCTCTAGTGGCAGCATAGCCTAGCCTCTCTTCCAGATACCTCCAAGCTACCACCCACAGATCATTCTGTAGCTCCTACCAGGTGGCTCTAGGCCAGGGATAGGCAGTAGCTGAATTTGGCCTGTACCAGAGCCTCTCCCAGAACCAACATGCCTGGCTGGCTTCAGACCATACCAGAGAACCACCCAGTTAGCTCCACTAATGACACACCCAAAGGGTGAACTTGGCAGGCACCAGAGCCCTGCCAAAGCGAAATCCACTCTGTAGGGTCAATTTTTATTAAACAGCTTGTTTGCTATAGTCATGGCCAGTTCGCTAACTGGCCTGAGGGTCAATCCCACCAACCTGCCAATTGCAATCAAGGCTCAACTACAATAGGATACATACAACCTACATAAGAGACACTGCTGGGGCACCCAGCTCAGGTGAACAGGGAGACTGGGTCTCACGCGACATATAAGACCACCCAATTAAGACTATGAGATGTAGCAGATCTACCTAATACTCTGAAAGAACAAAACGGCAGAAAAATAACTAAACGAAAACAGAGGCAAGCAATCTCCTAGTTCAAAACACTGGTTATAAGGATGCTCAGGGAACTTAGGAGAATAAACTCCATGAAAACTTACACAAAGAGATAGAAACCATTAAAAAGAACCAATCAGAAATGAGAGAGAGAGAGAAAGAGAGAGAGATAGTTAGTTTAAGGGGCCTATGAAACAATATCAAGAGTAACAAAATCCCCCTAGCTGGTTTGACTCAGTGGATAAGAGCATCAACCTACAGACTGAGGGGTCCTGGGCTCGATTCCCGTCAAGGACACATACCCAGGTTGTGGACTCAATCCCCAGCGGGGGGCATGCAGGAGGCAACCGATGATTCTTTCTCATCACTGATGTTTCTATTTCTCTCTCCTTCCCCCTTCCTCTTTGAAATGAACAAAAATATATTAAAAGAAAAAGTAACAAAATCCACATTAATCAGGTACCAAAAGGAAAAGAGAGAGCAAGGAATTATAAACCTATTTGCAGAAATGATGACAGGAAATCTTCCCTAACCTGGTGAAGGAAATAGACAAATAAGACCAGAAAGTAGAGTCCCAAACAAGATGAACCCAAAGAAGCCCATACAAGACACATCATAATTAAAATACCAAAACCGGTTTGGCTCAGTGGATAAAGCATTGGCCTGCGGACTGAAAGGTCTCAGGTTCGATTCCCGTCAAGGGCATGTACCTTGGTTGTGGGCACATCCCCAGTAGGTGGTGTGCAGGAGGCAACTGGTCGATGTTTCTAACTCTCTATCCCTCTCCCTTCCTTTCTGTAAAAAATCAAAAAATATATTTAAAAAAATAATAAAATAAAATACCAAAGGTCAAAGACAACAAAAAAAATCTTACAAGAACCAGAAGAAGAGGACTGAACATAAACTGTGCACCTATGGATGAGGACAATGGGGGAGGGGAAGGGGGCGGAGGGTGGGGTGGGGACCTGGTGGAGGGGGGAAGAAATGAGGAACCTTTGTAATAATATGAACAAAAAGATTAAAAAAAAAAAAGAAGAAGAAGAAGAAGAAGAACCAGAAGAAAAGCAGATAGTTATGTGCAAGGGAGCTCCCATAAGATTACCAACTGATTTTTCAACAGAAACTTTGCAGACCAGACAGGATTGGCCAGAAATATTCAAACTAATGGCAACCAAGGACCTACAAACCAAGATTACGCTACCCAGCAAGGCTATCATTTATAATCAAAGGAGAGATAAAGAGTTCCAAGACAAGAAGAAGCTGAAGGAGTTCATCAACCACCAAAACAGTCTTACAAGAAATGTTTAAGACTTCTTTAAGAAGAAATAGAGAACAAAATTATGAATAATAAAGTGGAAATAACTACATAGTTGTCAGATGGAAGGGGGATTAAAGAGCTGGCTGAAAAAGATGATGGGATTAAGCAGCACCAATTGGCACTTACAAAATAACATGAGGATGTCAAGAACAGCATAGGTAATATAGTCAATAATATTATAATAACTACTATGGCCCTGATGAATTTGACCCTACAGCCTGCGGGCTGCAAAGTCCTAGGTTTGATTCCGATCAAGGCCATGTAGCTTGGTTGCGGGCACATCCCCAGTAGGTTTGCAGGAGGCAGATGATTGATGTTTCTCTCTCATTGATGTTCCTAACTCTCTATCCTTCCCTGTAAAAAATGAATAAAATCTATTTTAAATAAGCAACTATGTATAGTGTCAGGTGGGTACTAGATTTATTAACTTTGGATAATTTCATAAGTTACATAAAAATCTAACCATTATGTTGTACATTTGAAACTAATATAATAAAGAAATTAAATCAAATCACTAACACTACATTTAATTTATATAATTTGATTTTTGTGACATCAGAGCCATCCATATAGAGTAGCAAGTGTCTGACAACCATAAGAAACAGAAAATTTTGCAGGGATAGAAGTCTTACTTTTTATTCCTATTCTGAGGTTGCATTTTTATTTGTCTAGTTAACTATCACATCTAAACTGGTGTATACTAAATCAATCACAACATCAAGAAACCCAGATCATTCACTATTTCCTAAGTTTTACAGCAGATTAGGTGGTTCCCTTGCCTGACCCTCTCATGTGCTTGTGCTCCAGCTGAAACATTAATTGCAAAACACTTCATACTTCTGCCCCTGCCTAGACTATGTCCCAGTGTTCCTGTCTGGAAAATACTTACACAATTATCAAGAACCAAGTTTATACTAATGTCCCCTGTGAAATCTTCCCCATCTCCCCTTCCACCCCGTTAAAACTGGCTACTCTCTAGAGGCCTCACTGTTTCCTGTGTAGCTCAACCATAGCGTTTATATAACAACATATTAGTTACAGATGTAATGGGTAGTAGGTAGATATAATCCAAAAAGATCTGTTAAACTATAGAGGGAAG